CCCACATCTCTGCCTGGTGCTGAAGCTTGTTCACTGTCCCTGCACGAGCCTCCATGGTGACAACTACTATAATGTATCTATCCTACTGTTGACAGTTTGGGGCTATTATGAATGATGCAGTAATGACCATTGTACAGTGTTTCTTCTAGGGACACACTTCTTTTGGGTACACCACTGCTGGTCACAGGGTATGCCTACGTTCAGCTTTAACAGACACTGGATAGCAGTTTTCCAAAGGGGCTTTGCCAATTTATACCACATCAGCAGTGTCTGAGAGCTTGGGTTAAACCACAGCCTTACCTGCACTTGGTGGTATCCTTTGTTCCCATGTCAGCACTTCTACTGAGTGTATTTAGCCTCATGGCTGTGCCTACATTCTTGCAATGTCTGCGAAGCTGGGTCCTTTTCATATGTTTCCGACCAGTGGGCCATCTTCTCTCATGAAGTAGAATTCCTGTATTAAACTCCCCTTTTCTGAGCCCCAGAGCAGCTCCTATTTTCCTGACAGGCTCTAACTGGCCCCTGCCCTGAGACACCAGGCAGGGAGCTATTTAGTGCTGTCACTGAGAAGGCTGTAGGACTGGCAGGATCACATGACAGTGGTTCCTTAAAAAAAGAAAGCCAGAGTAGAAGCAAAGACAAAAACAGGAGGGAAGGCTGGGATGGTGTGTACACCAACAGGAAGGAAGCAAGATCTACATTCTAGGGGAAAGAGCCCGAAATACAGAAAGAACACTTGTATTTCCCAGTTTCTTCCTTTCTCCCTGCCTCAGTCTTTGAAGCTAGACTCCCAAAATGCCCCCTCCACTTCGAAGGTTCTGAATATGGAAAAAAATGAGACTATTTTTACACAACTGGAAGGTCTTCTGGTCATATGCAGCTGGCACATGGGCACCCTCCCATCTGGGGACCTAATCTTCAACATCCCCGCCCCCCTTCCAAACTGGACTTTGAATTTCGAGAAGCAGGAACCACAACTGTCTGAACTATCTCTGGGTATTTAGCAGAATTAAACAAATGTGAGATTAATGAATGGCTACACATTAATTAAATAAGGGGAAAGAGGGTGGAAGCAACATGAAAGACAACTGAAAACTTCTATCTCAGGTGCTTTTACAGAAAAGACTATTCATCCCCAAAGCAACGGGCAGGCTGAGTCTTAAAATTCCGGTTTTAAAGCTAAGGGAACTGAAGCTATGGAATTTAAACAACTTGCTCAGTGTCATAAGGCTGTTAAATTACTGAGGCAGAACTAAGGCTGAGGTCTGCTGGACTCCAAAGCCCGTTTGTCTCCCCACCATACCTGCCCCCATGGTGGAGGGCAGAAGAGCTCAGCAGCTATCAGCGTCTGGTACAGAGCCACTCAGCACAAGTCACCCTTAGCCCCATGGGAGCTGAATCCACATGTGATATGGGTGGGCGCCAACATTTTTGCAGATGTTACCCTGTCTAATGCCCCCACCTATTCCCTGAAAGAATTATTATCTCCATTTTACAGATGAAGAAACCAAGATGTGAGAAGGCAAAGTGGCTGCAAAGTGCGATGATACGAGCTGCATGCAGGCCCAGGCCCATCATTAACCTGCGCTGCCCTCTGCTTCACAGCTTGCATGTGAACACCATATGTGGGGTATGCTTCCAGGGGCACAAGACCCTCACAAGGCACCTCCAACAGCTCATTGCTCTCTGTGGGGAAACGGAAAACACCCCTTACTTAGAACTTGCAGTGTGGGCGTGAGGCACAATTACTCAGAAAGATTATAAAGCATAGCAGCCCTACAAAATGTGATTTCCGCACTTAAGAACAATCATCTAGGGAATAAATACTGCAGTACAAAGGGGTCAAGGAGTTTCCTCCTCCTTGAAAATGAGTCTGGATTCTGTACAGGCTTTCCCCATAGGCTGAGCACAATGGGCCAGCCCTCGAGGTAGGTATCCTACAGCAGGGGCCGAGCCCCGAGGCCTCCAAGAGCCCAGGCCTCTGCCTCCCCTATCCCAACCTTTTCTCACCTGTAACCAAACACCCAACAATTTGGGGTGGTTGAGGATGATTCAACAACTGTTCCAAGTCTCCCCCTGAACAGGTTTCCACCATCAATTTCTAAACTTAAAAGGAATTG